TTGACTGAAATAAACAGCTGCATGAACTGGCTTTTATACATTTTTGGCAGCACTTTTAAAAAAAGCAGGTGCACTGAAATAAAATCAGGCCAGCAATAATGCGACTCCACACCTGCACTAATATAACACTCTTTGCTGACTGCGTATAATTATTATTTTTACTGTTGTGTTGCACGAGTACAGCTGCATATTTAAGAAGCCCATGATATGCGTGTGCTTAATCTCAGACACTTTCATAGCAAAACACATCAAGAGAACCTGCATAGAGTGTCATTCATGTTATTTATTGCACTGCATGTAGCGAATCTCACAAAACCTGTCAAGAACATGGCAAAAATAAAATGCAAAAAAATGTATAGTTAGAATTTGATGACAATTAACCTGTCATAACATTACATTAGCACATTAAACATATAAAAAACATTATAAAAATAATCGCGTAAAACAGGCTTCATTTTCTTTGGATTCTGTAGTGAAATGTGACTGTTTTTATGAGATTCATTAACACACGCTCTCACCTTCTCGCAGCATTCCCACAGACAGACACTTAGTGAAGCGGCAGGCCTGACAGGACTTTCTCCTCCTTTTAGTGATCTCACAGTCTCTGCTGACCGAACAACTGTACTCGATATTACCTGACAGAGACAAATAGACCATCATCATCATCATCAAAATATTCATCTAGCAACAACTGTATACTAAACACGCAGACACACTTTCACTAACTAGACGAGCTGCATTTATTTGATCAAAAATACAATAAAAACTGTAAAATAAAATAACTGTTTTCTATGTGTATTGTAATTTATTTCTGTGATCAAAGCTGTATTTTCAGCATCATTACTCCAGTCTTCAGTGTCACATGATCCTTCAGAAATCATTCTAATATGCTGATTTGCTGCTCAAGAAACATTTCTGATTATTATCAATGTTGAAAACAGTTGTGCTGCACGATATTTTTGTGGAAACTGTGATACATTTTATTTTTTGGGATTCTTTGATAAATAGAAAGTTCAAAAGAACAGCATTTATTTGAAATAGAAGTCTTTTATAACATTATGTCTTTACTGTTTTACTTTTGATCAATTTAATGCATCCTTGAACACATATGCATTAGGGCTGGACAATAATTCAATATCAATATGTACCGCGATATAATTTTTTTCAATAACGGTGATATGATTTTTAAACACATTTCCGATATACATTACCAGTGTTTTCCATACATTGATTTATTTGTGGCGTTTGATTATGATGACTGCGCATTTCAAAACCATAACACGGCGCGGGTGTTTTATATGAATGTATCTCTGAAGGGAATTGACTGTCTTCAGAAAAGTTTCGATGGCATTTTTGAGCGGAGCTGCTTTGATTACAGCCGTTACCGGGGAAACCGCTAGTTCCGCTAGTTCCAAAGCGCCTCCTGCTGGCGACAATGAGTTTGCATTTTCAATAATAATCCCGCCTCCAGCACCTCCAGCAAC